TAATTTTTATACGCCTTCAACAAAATTGATTTAAGTCTCTAAAAAATTCCATACTTAGTCATTCTGAACAACTTTGTGCTTATATGAAAATGCCGTTGGCAAATTAGTAACATTTTTACTTTTAATATCTATGTGATCAATTATTTTTTTCTTATCTTAAAAATTTTTCAGAGCATTTTCTACTGCCACACAATTGTTTTAGTTATTTGGATCCCCTTTTTAATTAAAAACGATCTCAACTACTTTTTTAGGTATTTTATTAGTTTTTAAATCAGTTGAGACATCAATGCAAAGCTCCAATATATTACTTATTTCTGTTGTTAGCTCTTTAACGTTAATGATTAGGAATTAGCTCACTGATAAGCAGAATAGAGTTAGTTTTCTGTCATAATCTGGATCTTTTTTCTCTTATGATAAAAGACCTTCAGAATCAATTACTAATATGTAGTCAAACTATGGTACCTTTGACTTTACGAGAGTGCCATATATTCCTCTCGTACATCTCCCTTCACTCACGTAAAAGTCACATCCTAAGAAATAATTCAATAAGGTTGATTTACCTGAATTTTGTGGTCCTATTATGCTTATGATACAAAATTTTTTATTTGTAAATAATTAATGAGAAAAGCATTTTTTTAAGAATTCGTATGGATAATAAAATGTTTCTCCATCAATTATTTCAAAAGGGAATCCATTATAAATATTTAATGAATAAGCTTCTATTAATTTCTCATTAAGAGAACTGTTGTTTGATTTATACCAATGTTATATGACTTCTCTCCAGAAAAGCTCAACTGAAATAGATTCGTCTAATATTTGTTTTTCTATTTCATAAATTTATTTTGAAATATCATTTTATTGAATTGTTTAGCTTTATTAAAGTACTATTTTCTTATTTTTTAATTGATTTATGTAATAATTATTCACATCTCTTAACTATTATATGAAAAAGAGCATTGACATGTAATGATTTTTATTATTATCAATTACTAATTATTCAAATTATTTTACAAGCTCACTCTTATCTTCATTTTTAGATTTTATATATTCAAAATATTTAA